ATTCTGAATGACTCGTGCCTTTGTCTTAATACCTCTCGAACGCTGTATGATCACGTAGAAATTTTTTTTTATTTCCGAATGGAAAATAAAATTTTTCTCAACACTTTTTTCGTCCAATGAGAAAATTTCAAATATTTTTGATCAAATATTTTTCACGAGCAAGAGGATGAACATCCATTAAAATTCGAATATTTTATTTAGTATTTCTTTTTCTCTCTTCTGTTATTAAAAAATATTATATCGTGAAATATAAAGAAAGTTTAAAATTTCATCGCTTCGAAGTAAAATTCGAAGTAAAAATAAAAAAATTATAAAATAAAATAGAATCTCGTATTGGACTCGATCAACTCGAGTTAATTACGTAAGAATGATAATTTTGATTAATTCGTACGCGTCAAAAATAAATTTTATAATCTCCATAAGAGTTATAAACTCTTATACATCGTTTCACTTACACTTCTGATACGCGATATTGTCGAACAATTTGCTGATTTCTGCGGGCGTGGTCGCGTCCTCGTTCATGGGTCGTGTGTTTATACCCGCATCCGTAACGAAAGCGACCCCTTGCGTATTGTCCACAACGAATACTTCGTCTAATCGCCAATCGGGTAGAATCTAACCGAAGATAATTAATCAGAATTAAATATATAGATCGTAAAATTCGATACTTCTGAAATTAATTAAAAACAAGAGTTTAACGATGACATAGATCCTTTGATAATTTATACGTGGATAAGAGTTGATATATAATGAAAAACGTACAATACTTCGATCGATACTTTCCACAAGTATTGTTATCTTCGTTCAATTTATTATATCCCTTACCTTTACATGGCGTGTAAAAATCGTAGAGAAATAATGTAAAATTCACAAATATAAACTAAAATAAACTCGCCTCATGAGTGATGAAATATTGGAAATAGTCCGCGAATCCTTCGTTCAGCCAAATGTATTTCCACCATTTCGGGCTGACGAGATTTCCGAACCATTGATGGGTGAATTCGTGGGCTATGGTCGTGGTTACGCCTTGAATCGAACGATCTGTCGTCACATTGTTCTCGACGAGAAGAGAGCTCTCCCTAAAATGGGTAAAACTTCGATTACCGCTACATTCAACGTGTCCATAAAATTAAAAATCCAAGATGGTGGATATCGATTTTCGACAAGTAACGAAAAAAAAAAAAAAAAAAAAAACGGTAAGCGAAATGGTGATAAAAAATACAACGAGATTCAAAGTGGTTGTGCACACACATTGACGATACAATCGTCAAAATCCTCGTGCCATCCTCTTCGAATGGAATATTAATTCCAACATCATAAATTAATGATAATATTATTTCTCTCTATAATCAATATCTTAATGGCAAGTGTCGAGTTTGTGAAAACATAAATTTCCTCTAAATTTGTCACTTTTCTACACCAACGAGTGTTCTACACGATTCTCTACCTTAAAATCTATCAATCTAATCAAAATAAATATTTAAATGTCGATTAAAATAAAGTCTCACTGAGACTGAATATAATAAAAAAAAAAAAAAAAAGAAAGAAAGTTATGATAGCATAATAATAATTAGAGAGAGATAAAGAGATCGATTGCGATGAGAGGGAATTACCTGTAAGTAACGAGACCCCAATTTTCCATGGCGCCTGCCGCGAAATCTTTCAGCGACACTTGGTCCATTTTTGCGATCTCGTTACCGTACGAGATTTTCGTATATTCGTCCAATTTCTTCAACAGATACACGCTCACGTTCAAAGCATATTTCGTCTGTTCCACGGCGTGCGGTTTCGTCCAAACTTTGAATTGGATATTGTTCTCGATTTTTTCGCTCGAATTATAGTCAGAGACCACAAATGCCACCAAGTAAGTGGACATCTTCGGTGTTGTCTCGAACTTAGTTACGATCTTTTCGTTATTTTCAATCAATTTGGTACTATTTTTTTTGGCATTCGAGATCGCGTTGTACAATTTCGAGTGGGTTATAGAGATGTCGAAAGTCGCCTTGAAAGCAGGCTCGTCCCAACAAGGGAACGCTAATCGAGCGCCTGTTGGCTCGAAGTGGGTCGCGGCAACGTATCTGCAAGATACAAGAACAAAATATTTAGAAACGATACAGATTTGAGATGATAAAACGCAAACAGTTGTCGTCGAGAATTATTTTTACAGACAAACTAGACACTGTTGAAAATGGAGTAGAATTATTGATAACTCGCTTTTATCGAGAACAATTTTTTAGAATTACTCGATAATACATATTGGAGATGAAAGTTGTGGAAAAAGTCTTACTCTTTTAAATGTGGAAGATGTTTCACATTCGTGGAAGATATTCTTTGAAATAATATATAATAGAATTTTTGGATGCTTTACCCTTTAGAGTCCATTTAAGAGTGAATAGTTGAGGATAAATAATAAATATTTGTGGAAAATAGTGTCAAGGAAATGCGAATCCTGATTGTGATTATTCGAAATTAATTTTCATTCTCACAAAATATGAATAAGAAATAATTCTCGACGTTACAACTCTCAAATATGCTCGCGCATATAATATAACGACTGATTCTTTGATAAGCAAAAGATCGTTGCAACGAATAAAATAAAATTTTTAGAGGGGGAAAAAAACGTTTAAACAATATTTTTTACAAAAAAACATTGAAATATTCAAACTGCGGCTTCTATCTTTCCATTGCAAATATGCACGAGCAAAGATAACGATTCTTTGTAGTATTCTAAATCTTTTTTCAAAAAAATTAAAACACTGCAAATTTTCATTATCGAAACGAGTTAGAGAAAATTTAAAAAATGTTGTGCTTACTTTATATACTTGTTCTCGTCGATGTATCTACTCCTATAAAATCCTCTCTTCTGATCGTTCAATTCGCCAGAATAATTTATCGTAAGGGTATAGATCCCGTTGCCAATGCTCTCCTTCTGAGGTCTTATGATTAAAAGTTCTTGCTTCTCCACGAGCTCAGGTTCTTTCACTTCTATACCCATCTTTGAATTTTTCAGCTCTACTTTATTGATTTTGAGATTCTTTTGATTCAATATTATACTCTTAACATCTGTCTTTACTTCGATCGTGATCGCCACATTGCCGGTGAACGTGAAGTTATTCAAATTCGGTTCCAAATTTAATATGTACGACGATGGTACGACGTCGGTTGGAAGCCTGTAACTTGGCTCATCGTCCGCTCGAGGATCGACCGCGTCCCCGAATAGAGAATTCGCTTGACAGATCGTCAAGCAGAGAAGCAATAATGCTTTGGCCATCCTGGATCGATAAACATTCACTCGATGATTAACTAGCTCGATTATTTCTCGTCTCGTGTAAGATCACTTATCGTACACTGGTTATTTCGTGTCGTGGATGTGTACAGGAGCGATCTATTTTTCGAATTTTGCCACTCGAGAAGGTGAGAAGGTTGTTTAAATAGGAGATACGAATCGAGAGATAAATATACGAGGTCTAATTGAATACGTTAAAGAATGTAAATATTTCCTTCCGTGAAAAGTGTGTATATCGTATTCCTCGAAATATAACTCTTTTGAAAAGATAGAATAAAGATTAAGATTTTCCAACGATACTGGAAACAATTTTATCTGAAACTGAAACTGTTGCCTATATATACGCTATATACCAAAAATAACAGATGAGAAAAAAGGAATTAAATTATAAAAACTATGGAACCGGAGGAATACAAATTTAGAATTTAATTGATAAAAATTTGCATAACTATGTACTATTGTTTATATAACTCGTCAATAACACATATATTTTTACTAATCATTCGTTACCAAATCATTCGAATTGAATTGAAATTTGGATAATTTCGTAATAATATTATGACAAGAATCAGTTGATCGTTTCTTTTTTTAGACATATCTCGTATGTATGTATCCTTTCTGCACGGACACTTATCGAATGAAAGGAATAATCCATCGTGATTAATTGAATCTTAAACGAAAGAAAAGAGAACGTAAAATCTAATAATAATAAATCTTCTCAACGTTTAAAGATTTCATAAAGATTTCATTGACCTCGATTCCAAAATTATCTTTCCCCGAAAACCGATTTTCCGCGATCGTTCGATAAAGGGAAATTGCGTGGCGGATATTATTAATTGAACGACGTACCTTGATGATAAATGGATCACAGCCAGCCGATTCTTTACACCATGCAAAATCCCGGGCAATAAATTAATTACACGTCGACGATTGCTTTATAAATGACTTACCTGTACAGGTGTTCGTGCTTTATAAGGTAAGGCACGTTGAAACCATTATCAAAATTCTGCCTAACTTTCTTTATCGATATTTCTTTATCAATCGGTGCGTTGTCACGATCGAAGTTATTATACTGTCGGATACTGACCGATATATCTATACCGATATATATATATATATATTTTATATCCGTATAAATTTTTTTTCGAAATGGTTGACGCGCACCTTGATCCATCCGTTTTATCCGATAATGTGATATGTATTATTATTATTATTATTATTATTATTATTATTATGAATGGTATATTGATGGTGTTCGAATTATTTTTTTTATTTCAATTTCTTTTTTTAAATGAAACGTCGATGAACAATTCTTTTTTCAATGAATAACTTTTGATAAATTCCTTTTTTCAAGAAGATATTTAGAAGTTTTAAGGAGGTGAAATTTTTTTTAAATCTAATTTTGTAATGGTAGCAGATAGAGTAAAATTTTATTTTAAAATCGCGAAACGTTTAAAACTTTTAACGCTTTATTGGTTTATCTAAAAATAATTTTCAGACAAAATTATATTTGAAACTGGACATGTGAAATATTCAAATTTTATTGATTTTATCCTGAAAAAGATAGATTTCTCGATAAAAAATTACTCTACGTGTCAATTATTTTTATATAAATTTTCGTTAATTAATTTTCGAGTTGAATGAATTTCTCTGTATATAAATATTCATTACATGTATATTTACAAGATATCTATATTTTAATTTGACGAATGGACTGCAAATTTTTATGTAATACACACATTTTATCAATATTTATCAAATATAAATAAAAATGTGGAGCTTGTGTACGAATGTTTTATCTTTTGATGATACTTTTAATCTCAATATTGGTGCAAATTTATAGTCGTACGAATACCGTTTTAAAATTACATAAGGTGATATTGATTTTGATGGGTAACATGTAAATATAAATATTCAATATTCGTATTTCATAAATTCCTTAAATAATACGGTAAAATGATATGTCGTTTCATTGACCTTTTATTTTTTTCTAAAAAAAAAAAAAAAATAGCCAACTGTCAATTCAGAAATAATATAAATATAACATTAGAGATTTAAATTTTTTTATATATTATTTTATAAATTAACGATTTTAAATACTTTTATTTATTTAATTTTTTACTTTATTTTTGTAAGAAACGAAGTGATTTTTATCGATTAGCGCATTAATAAATTATACGATTCCATTATTAATCATCTTCAGAAAAATTAATTACATTAAATTATACATTTTTTCGTTGAAACTCCGTTCGAATTTTTATCCGAAAATTATTGTATATACAATTTAATTTATAAATTATTGAAGAATTGAATATTCCGTATAGTTTAAATTAATTGGATACTGATTTAGTCTTTATTAACTCATTTCACTTTGTTTTATCGAAAGTACAATTGGTTGAACAATATTTCGTTACGTTAACTTCTCATCTCGATTTAGTAAAACATGATAACATGATAAATCTTATCGTTCTAATTGTTCTATGTTACTTATTGTGAAAGAAATATATTTCAATTATATTCTAAGATCGCACTATTTCTTTTTCTTTTTTTTTAATTATTAAGAAAAGATACTAATTAGAAGAAAAAAAATCTGAAATAATAATTCTTTTTTTTATATTTTTGTGTAACAGAGAACGTATTTCGTTTCTTGCAATCACTGCGAAGTATCAGTTTTACTTTTACTACAAGTAATACTTTGTTTTAATTAACATTTGATCGTTATCATAGATCATATAAACTTGACCAAAAATGTCAAATCATTTCATTATTTTATAAATTTTTATTGTTATTTTTGAACAGTTTTGCCTTGTTTTTTAATGATTAGTTCTATATAGTACTGTTTCCATTTTTATAACAAATTTTAACGTCATTTCATTACGAATTATGAATATTCTATAAGAGGTCAACGTATTATATTGTATATGTATATAAGATTGTTCTTGTACGTATAATAATATATAAGAAGTAACAAGTAATAAACAGAACAGTTTGAAATACGAGACAATAACTATATCACTTTCCACGAATATTTAATTTATGATTGATTTGCAATCGATTGTAATACGCAAATTTAAAAAAAAAATTGTTTTACTTTATCATAAATTGATTATTTAATGAATCGATGATTATCAGATATTGTTTGTATTCGATCCAATATTTATGGTTTTCGCGACGCATTAATCAAGAATTTGTTCGTTCAACGTCTAATGTGTCGAATAATTAAGGGAAATGGAACGATGTCAAACGATTTTTGATGTTTATGAAACTCTAATGTTTATGAATTTTAAACGAAACCTTATGTAAAATTTAAATGGTCTGTTTGTCTTTTATTTTTGAAAAATTGTGTAAGAATATTAGTTTTGATGCAATAAAAAGTATTTATGCCAGATAAGATAATTTATGTTTTTAATTATCACTATCAGTTATAAATTGTTAGATTTTCAAATAATTTGATAAAATTGAATCTTGTTATTTTGATTAAAAGAAATTAATAATGATAAATAAAGAAAGTGTTTTCTTTGTTTTATTTTATCCATTATTATATATGCATATATTGCTATTTACTTATCTTTGTAACATGTAATTAATTAAATTACATTTATTATGATAGGAAATTTAATACGACGATGATCAAATTGAAATTTTTGTATCGATCCAACAGCTTTAAAATGTATAAAACACAAAACATTGATCTTTCGAGTCACGATAAACAATATCTTGAAATGATTATACTCATTATTATCTGATGCCACTTGATAAAGATACGAATAAGTGTTATTAAAATGATATATAAAAATTTTTAAAAATGCTTTCAAGTAAATTATCTAATATGGAATGATGATAAAGTAAAGACGAATCGATGGAAAATTTATATATATATTTTATTAATCTATCTATTGATTAAATATTAACAAAACAAAATTTTAAATTTATATTTAGTTACAAAGTTGAAATTTCCTATAAAAAATATATTTTCCAAATATTTTGTTACAATTAAAAAAAAAAGAAAATCGTTTATTAATTAATTATTATGCCCAATATATTAATTATATAATCTCAAAATATTCTGCGATACTGGGCACGTATTTCTTGATCCACTTCACGTTTTCCAAGGCCACGGACAATGCTTGTTTCGCTGTATCTAAACTCGGTCCTAGATTTTTGGAATTTTCTTCAATAAACGCGGAAAGCTGCAATACAAATAAATTGATAAAAGATATATATATTTATGTATATTTTCATGTGATTTTGATTTTGTTCAAATCATTCAAATCGCGAGTATATTTTTCAATTTCAATTAAAATTATCTCTATCAGTGCAATTAATTGCAATTTTTCTATTCGCTAACTTTCTTTTTTTTTTAATATTAATCTAAAAAATTTTGAAATAAAGCTGTGCTTAATAACTGTTACTTACAATCTATAATTATAATCTTTTGTTTTATTTATCTGCTACTTTTATCAATTCCGATTTTTTTTTAAAATTCGAAGAAATTCAATATTAAATAATTCATACACACTAATTTTATTTATGACACAATCATTGATAAATATATCTTGTTTCATTGTCCAAGATATTACTAAGTTTAACTCAGATTGAAACAAGACAATAATATAGGATAAAAATTATTTATAACTTGTTAAATATCAGAAAATAAATATATATAAAATAGTTTTATGCCATTTTTATGTAAAACATGTAAAATATATGTATATATATAAATGAATAATTCAAAATCTGAGCAATACCTTTCTCGTTTGTGCTGTTGTTATCATCGCTTTTCCGATTGCAGTAATTATTTTGTCCAAGAAATCATATCCCCTTCTATAAAAAGAAGAAAAAAAATTCATATATATTAAAAGAAATCTGTAAAGAAATCTGTTATTATGATATATTCAATCAATATTGGAAATAATTTTTTTCAAAATATATTTTACCTTATTAATCTATAATATATATATATTTTAAATAATATTATTGGAATATTTGTAAAATAAATATTATTAATTATTTTTGTTTAACCGTTTGTGTTAATCTATTTCTAATTAACATGTTATTCTGAGAAGCATGGAATTTTTTTAATTCTAAACTTCTCGTTCTAATCAAATTTTAACAAATATCGATTTAATCGAGGAAATAATTCATGCGTTGATATTTGCCTCTTATATACGAAAAATATTTACTCGTTATCTTTAATTCTATATAATTAATTTAGAATAATCAAATATTCGATAAAAATGAATCAATTTATTTCTTAAATAAAATTTTTAAATTTATATCGTTTTTTTTTCATCAAATAAACTTAAACATCTTTTATTTCAATTGATTAAATTATATTATATTTATCTATTTTTTTAATTTGATATATTCGTTTGAAACAGAAATATGTCAGAAATTTGATATTAATGTAATCAGCATAACAAGATAAAAAAATATGGTTAAAATTAATCCTACGAATGAATGTAATAAATTTATGTGTTTCTACGTACAGTTCGATGATTCTTGTTAAGGTTGATTGAACGAATTTCAGAACGTGATCGACATTTCTCACATCTCCATCCAAAATGGCATTCACTATCATCATTCTTTGCTGTTTACGAACATTCTTTTCATTCGATATTGATGCTTCCAGATATCTGTGAAAAATATTTCAGGTTAAAATCTGATCAAAGATCAAGTGGATTACTTTTAAATACAATTCGAATACATATTGAAGATTATTTATTTATTTCTATTTATTTTAGTTTCTTTCAATTTTTTTTTCTTTATCAATATCATGATTTCCATTATAATACAAATTAGTATTATATTTATTTTAGTGTTGAAATCGTTACTTATTTTGAAAGAGAGAAATTATAATAAAAATTATATAAAATATTATAATAAAGAGAAAAATCTTCTGTATGTATATTAATCACTTGTCTAATCTCACTCGTTTCGTTCAATTAATTTAATCAATTAAGCAATTTAATTAATCAATTAAATTAATCATTATCGTTCAAAGTTCGAAAGCAATCATATCTTTGCATGAAATTGAAAATTTTTTGCAAATATTATAAAATTACCCATTTGTGATAAATGTTTATTGATAATGATAACTACTTTAGACTAAAGAAAAATTAATAAAATATCTAAAATTTATATGGAAATAATAAAAAAAAAAAAGAAAGAAAGATGATTATTTTTAACGAATTAGAAATTTTTGAGTTTAATTTAACCCATTTAAAATTTCTTACTACTATCAGATTTTTGGACGACAACGAATCATTAATGAAAGCTTACGTTTCAATCAAATTAGATTTTTGCGTGCATCCAAGTGCTTGTAATAACAATTCTTGTTCAATCTGCAGATCAGCATTTAACCATCTATCCATTACTTTATACCAATTTTCTTTGGAACCCTTACGTATTCCTTCGCAATAAACGAAACTCTTAACATCTCGTGGTATTCTATCAAAACAAGTTGAAAATAGTAAGACAAGAATATTAAAAATATTAAAGATGAAAAATAATTATAGAATATAGAAATAAAATAATTGTCATAGGCTGCTGAAATAATTGAAAAATAATTTATCATTGAACGATATGTGATATATTGAGCTATAATAATTACGCGATATCAAATGCAAGATTGATCCAAGAAAATATTTCACGCATACAGAATTGATAATATAAAATTTTGCATACATTTTATCAGGCTCGGTGATCCAACTTTGGAATAAATTTTCTGAAACGTTTAAACAATCGGCATAACGTACTAAACAGGAAGTCGATAAGATTGATTCTCTCTGTAATTTCGTCGTTATATCCTCATTCGGAGATTCGGTGAAATTAAGCTGATCGTACATGTTTCGCAACAAATGGATCGCATAATCCTGTTTATTATTATCATTAATAATAATCGTTAAAATAATGGTCGAATTAAAAAATTGCAATATCAATGTTATCATCTACCTGAAAAGCTTGTAACACGTTCGGTTCACCGCTCAACATTTTATTCAAGAATTTGAAATTATTCGCGGCAGCGACCCAAGGCTCGTAATCGGTCTCACGAACCAAATACTTGGAAAGGTTAAACGGAATCGAATAATTCTCGTAACCGGCCCTGGCCAATTAAAAGCATCGTCTATGAGGGCGGCTCTGTTCACTCTATGTATTTTCGTGAAATTTTTCAAATTCAAATAATCGGTAAGCATCCGCCAGTTTCTCTGGTCGTAATTCACTCGATAATATCCACTTTGCTGGATATTGAAAACGATCCAATCGTCTGACGGGATGCGGGACACGATGATTAGACTCTCCTCCGGATTCAACAAATATTTCGGAGATAGGTCAGAAAAATTTGCATCCGTCTCCGTTGTGAAACTCAACGGTATCCACCATTTGGACATCGAATGAACGTGATCCCATTGAAATTTTTCATGAACGATTATAAGTATGCCTGACTCGTAGTCTCGCACGATGGTCACCAGAGGATATCCTGATTGATTTGTCCATGTCTCCATGATGTCTTCCAACGATATGTCATCGTTCAATTCGCTTAATTTGTGAGTGAAATTTTCTAGATGTTCGTAAAGATCATGCGGCGTAGCTGCTCGATACGACCTGATTTTAAATAAAATAATTTTTCTTTTATTAGAAAGTACATTAGATAAGATAGTTTCACGAAGATAGATGATTGCACGATTGATGCACGATGACATCGTTGATATCGTTGACATTGTTGAATTCTTGTGATTTGTGTGATTCAGTGTGTTGTATTTTTTTTCTTTTTTTTTTTTTGTTTAGAAAAACTGTATGACTTTGCATCGTTAGAGATATAAAGTAGAAATTAGAAGTGTTTGAATTTGTCACGAAATATCAAAATATTTTGAGGATCTCGAAAATATTGAGAATGTATTTAGATTTTTTGTAACATTGAAAAATATGGGAATTTTCAAAAATTTATTGAGATTTCTTTTTACATAACCAACTTTTTATAGTCTTCATTGTAAAATTTGTATCTAGTTTCTTATATCGATAAGATAATTTTCTTTTCATACATTTTTTATATCGTGCAAGCACTTAAGCTACTATTTATTTAAACTATGAAGAATTCTAATTATTTATATTAATTAAATTAATATAATTTAATAATTTATTGTAAAGTGCAACCATTTAAAATTTATATTGTCGTGTGAATAATATTTCGAATATATGAAATATTCATCATTATGAAAGTTATAAAATAATAGAACAATAAATCAATTATTTATAACATTTTAAAACATCGAACACTTCATTGATAATCTTTTAATTACATATATCTATCTGTTTTTATTATTATTATCATAAATGATTAGAAACTAACGATTTTAAATTCAAGGATACTTATTTCGATAAAGAAGAGAAATTTTATTAGAAACAACTCTCTACATTAATATAAACATTCATATACTTACATATTTGTCACGTAACTTCGTAGACCGTTTTGAAATGCCGATTCACCGATCATGTGAGAGAGCATGCGAATCACAGATGCACCTGAAATAAATACATCTGAATTAAATTCTAAAATTTGTCATTATCGCATTATTTTTTTCTAATTTCTTAGAATTAATCAGTTCTAATATCAACTTTTATGTTTTTTTATTCGCTCTCTAAAATCGATCCTTCAAAAGCTTCATTAACACTCTGTGTAATTATCTCGAACAAATATAATCTCGAAGACGAGATCTAAATCAAAATATTATTCCAGCGTGTAAAGAATGTTTATAATTTCAGGCTTTAATTGTGAGATTAAACAAAAGATAATACAATAATATATAAACAATCGTTCTCCTCTATTGTTCCAATCCAAATATCCAACATCCAAAAAATTTCGTAAAAATTTAAACGAATCTTCATCACGTTTAAAAGAACACGAAGACGCGTGGAAAATGTCACACCTTTCTTATACGAGACAAAATCCAACACCGCCATGATGCTAGCGGGGCTTCCAACGTTTCGCCCGTTCATTACTCTGCTATGGTTCCCGGAATCCAACAGCATCGCCGGTTGCACCACGTTCACCACGAATTTCTCCATCATCCCCCACGAGGGCTCGACCATCGACAGTGCAAAGTATTGAAAGTAGGAAGCGAATCCCTCTTTCAGCCAGGCGACATCCCAGAACATGGGCGTGACGAGATTCCCGAACCAGGTGTGTGCGTATTCGTGGGCCATCGTGGTCAATCCATCGATCGTGTACCTCGTGGGCGTAATTCCATCCTCGTACAACACCACGGACTCCCTGTAAGTGATCATACCCCAATTCTCCATCGCGTGAAAGTTGAAATCCGGAACCGCGAGCTGGTCCATCTTCGTTATTGGATTCTCGATCGAGATCCAATTTTCCAGGGACGAGTATATCGATCTCCCGTAATTCAGAGCAGTTCTCCCCCGATCGTTCATCGATCTTCGCGTCCACATTCGAAAAGTTTGCGAGGAGTTTGCCGAGACGAAGTCGTGAAGGGCCCAGCCCAGTTGATACGTGGACATTCGTGGAGTTGGCTCGAATCCATATTCGTTCCTAATTTTAAGAAGTGAAAGAAGACGGGAAAAATTGCTGTTGGGTTTAAGATCTTTGTATCGAGTGATATTTTCATAATTATTTTTCATTCGTGAGGAAAATTTAAAAGTACTAAAAATCATTGATGTAGAAACGAGCAAGAAGAGTGACAATTACCGATTAAAAGTTTTCAGAAGTATACTTGTAAAGAGTCTGTTTAGATTGAGAACTAGTTTCGTATAATCGAATTATAGTGATGGGCAAAATTTAATAATTGAAGTTACGAATAAAGCGACTTCGATAATTTATCGTTCGAAACGTAATAATAATTGCAAATAATTGTAATAATAAATCGGATAATATCTACGAATAAACGTTACTTAAGCATTTCAATTCAAACTAACTTTATTCGAAATTTCTGACTAAGTTATAAAGAAAAAAAAAATGTATAAAGAAATATACCACGAGGTCCTGAATTTAACTCTAGTGTTACTCGTCACTGTCTTCTCGTACACGTTAACAGTCAACGAGAAAACCGCTTTCAAATGCGGCTCGTCCATGCATGGAAACGCTCGACGCGCGTACGTCGGCGAGAATTGAGTAACCGCCATCCATCTAGAAAAATTCGTATCCTTGAAACAAACGTTTCCATTTCCGTCATTTTCAAAATTAAATCCATATACTTTGTCTCGTTGTTTTCAGCGTAAAAACTCCTATAAAATCCGAATACGTCGTCGCGTATTTCACCCTCGAATCGAATTCGCAACACGTATTCACCCGGCTCCAACGTCTGTTCAAATTTTACAATGTAAAATTGCCTTTTCGCGTCGTGATATCGGCACAGAATCGGTTCAACGGACGAATCGTTCGTAGCTGGATAAAGATTCACCTCTTCCTCCATGATACGTAAGCCATCGTTGTGCACCACAACGGTGCTGGTCGGTTCAACGACACTTACGAATATTTGCACGGATCCTAAATACGTGAAATTTGTTCGATCCTTGTCCAGATGGACGATGTAACTCGTTGGGACCACCTCTTTTGGAAGTCTGTACGACAAATGATCGCTACCATTTTTGGACACATCTTTGTCGGTCAATAATGGGTTATGGGAGCACACGTTGAACGATGTTGCAAACTCGAGCACGACGATCAAACACGTAAGGACGAAAAACTCGCGCATCATCGTGTTAAGTAAAATGTATTTGTACGTTCCTAATAGACGTCACTTTTTCCAACGATCGTATCACTAATCGAATTACGAGCAATCGTTCGGTGTTCGAATCGTTTCGAAGTTTATCTTTGGTGTTCGGAAGTGTACTATAGGCTACACGCGATAGCGTTCGCAATCGTATATCCAATCTTGTCTTAGCCTACTTATTTTGAACGACCGTCGATGCGTGAAAGCAAAACTGTCGATGCGTGAAAGCAAAACTGTCGATGAATTTTTTAACTTTTAACACGTCACCCATTTTTGGTTTAGCTCCGACAATAACATTTGGACCCCGTGAGAAACTCAACTGAATCACGCTGGCCAACGAACGTGTTAAATTGGCTTTATTATGGTTCCTTTAAAAATTTAAGGATATTCTTCGAATCGAGGATTAATCGATATTTTTTTATTGTTGTAAAGAGTTGCGAACAGGATAATTAATTTTGAAGAGGATCGAAATAAAGGCGAAAAATGTTGGTTGAGTTAAAATAGCGGTTTTTTTTTTGTTATCGCAAGGGGTGAAAAAATGAGCAATAACAACAGCAAAAGTGTTTCGATAAAGTATGTTTCTGTTTTTTTTTTTTTTATTCTGAGCAAAGTACAAAACACGTGTTCAGCTTAAAAATCTAACGCTTCATCGTTTCACAAATTCATCGTGGCATAGCTCGTAATAATAATAATAATAATTAATAATTAATAATAATAATAATTAATAATAATAATAATAATTTAATTAAGGCAACTCTTTCGTAACTCTACGCGTTAATCATCTTTGAATATATTACTATTCACCACCAGATATTCGTAAAGCTTTAATTTCCATTACATGCCATACTCGTTATAATAATACGATTTATACACGCTCGTTCCCGCGAATAATAAAAATGGATCGTTCGGAATTTTTGAATAAGAAACTACTCCGACTAGACAAGCAAGCGATTCTTTTTTATCCTTTTCCTTTTCATTTAAAGCGAAATGCATTCGTTTTTTTTCTTTTTCATCTTTTTTTTTTTTAAATTACAAATGTTGCGTGCTATTTACACAATCCCTCCCTACATGTGTCCGATATAATAAATTAATACCTTAAAGATATACGTTCTATCGAGTGATCACGAACCTCGATTAATATCGTTTTCAAAAAAAAAAAAAAAAATTGGAAAAGCAAAGAGATGATAACAAATCTTGTACGATACATTTTGTTGTTGTTGTTGTTGTTGTTTCAACATTAGAATTACCAAACTGGTCACGGATTTTGCGTTGTTTTTAGAATTATTAAAATTGTGCAGATTGTTGTCGATCAAAATTAATATCGATCTTGGAACAAAAATATAATTACTAAAATGTGTATATCTAATTATTTTTATAATATTACTTTTAATCCTAATCATTTATAATAAACGTAATATATTTATGGTATGCGTTATATATTATTGGTTTGGTAGTCCTAGTGTCAAGAGAAAAAAACGAAGAAATGAAAAACGAAGGATGATAAATGAAAAACGGTGGATGAAATAACGATAAAATGCAAAAATATCGTAAATCAAGGTTATTCCTCTTGAATATTTATCCACGTATAACGTTCGTGATTTCAATCATCAGTCTCCCCTTCCCTTCCCCTCCCTCCCTCCTACCCCTCCCCCCATTGAAGAATCCTCTTCGATACAAGGCATAAAATATATATATCGCATATATTTATATCACTATCTAAATAATCGAGAAGATTATTTGCATTATGATTTATTGCTTTCAGCGTTATGTATGATATTAATAGGTCATAACGATACGAAATGCTACCAAGATCTTCGATTTCATTTACATAATATTTGTTAATAAATTTCAGCGAATCAGTGATATTTTTTTAAACTCGATTCCATGCAAATCTGTTCAACTTTGCTACTTCCGCATCAATGAAGCAATCCAATACTGTATAATACTACTGCGACTTTGTGGTAATGCGTTTCAATTATTGTCCTTTTCTAGTTCATCCAATAAAGGAATGAATATCTAATCGAACGAACGATTGTCATCTATTGCATTTAGGCCAATGCAAAAGTTCATACGTTTCGCAATGATTCTTATTGCAATTAAATAACTCTAATCAATGTGAATATGAATCAAACACGTCCAGTGTATTAAATAATAAAAAAAAATTAAAACGTACTTCTAATTTTAGTTCAGATTATTTAAAAAAAAAAAAAAGAAGATGAACTTTTGCGTGAATCTATTATTAAGTTCAACGTTATTTCTACACTTTCAATCAATAATTTTGAATCGTAAGAAAATTTCCACTATGCGTTAGTTATTGAGGACCAGACACAACGTTTCAGTAAAACTTTGAAAAATGATCCAAGGAAATTTGAAATCCAGAATCATCCGTTATAGATATAGATACCTACATCCTCTTTTATCAAAATCTCCTCCTACCTAGCATAGCATCAAATACCTAGCATCCATCAATTAAAAATTACAATTCAAAATAAAATTAAGAAGAAAGTTACCAAGAATATTTTAACTTTGAAAAACGATTCAAAGAAATTTGAAATCATCCGTTTCCGTCTCCTCCTACGCCAAACAACACCTAGCATCCACCAATAAAAAATTTCAATTCAAGATAACCCGGCAATTACTTATATCCTTACCCAGAACAATCCTCGCAAAAAGATAATTGAAAAAAAAACGACAGACAATCTGGTCCCTGTACAATAAGACACGCGCAATGAATAGAATGACAGAGATGAGAAGGGATCATCATCATCACAGAGCCGTTTCCAACGTCGGTACGCTGGGGCTACGCGCCACGCTCTGTATCGAGGGATTCTGAGGGGACTCCGACCTCGCGCGGAAAATCGTCTTCGCGTAAGCGGTTGCCGCTCCTTGAGCGGTCGGCGTGCCGGCCAAGAACTGGGCCCTCGCCAGCTGATTGCTGATCCTCCTCGACTCGAAGGCGCTTATCGCTTGCTGGCACGAGGGCGTCAGCTGGCCGCAATTCACCGGATAAGGGATCGCTGTCGCGAGACTGTCTGTGGACGCGCAATTCTCCGTTTCCCCTTGGCTGTTGCGACCTTCGTCGAATGCTTCCTCCGCCGTCTTCTCTGATTTCGAGGGGTCGCGATCCGCGTCGTTCGTCAACGTCCTCTCGTCGCTTCCTCCGCGGGGAGGAGGAGCACGTTTAGAGTCGACTCGCGAGTCCTCGTCGGGTAGATCGTCGCAGAGATCGAGTTGTCGCCTCGCGTTCACTCTCGACACGGGCGAGGCGTTCTCGGGCGACGGTTTCATCGCTTTCTCTTCGGCTGCCGTGTCCTCGATTATCGTGGACGACAGCACGTCCGTGCGGGGCGTTTGAAACCTCCATATGGAGCGGGGACTCAGAACTTTGGCCAGGGACGGTGTTTGCTGGACGCTGGCAGGCGACGATTGTTGCTGCTGCTGTTGCTGCTGCTGGCACTGCTGCCGCGACAATTTCAGTTGCTCGGCGGCCGAGAGCCTCGCCGGCCCCGTCTTCACGCTTTGCTGGAGGAGAAGCCGTTTGAAGTCGAGCCGAGATGTGGCTGGTGATGGCGGTTGGTTGGACGTCTGCGTTACCTGGAAATCACGATTCACGTTGGTGCGACGAGTAGTAGAAATTGAGATTAAATTTTTTGGATCGGAATTTGTCGATAGATGTGCTTATTATTTAACGGCTTCTTCGGTGAAGCTGCAATATTTAATTGCGATCGATGAATTCGCGATAAGTTTATACGAAGATCAACGACTCGTATATTTTTATCGTTATATAAATAATTCGATAAATAAAAAGGCGTTATCCGTAAGTATTAAAGATAGAGTACGGGAATCCAAGTAGTTAATTCTCCGTGAAGTTTCGAATCGCGTAAAATTTCTATATAATTTAAAAAACAAAAAAAAAAAGAATTCGTCAAGAGAATTAACAAGTTGACCGACATGTCACGAAGGAAAGAACGATACATCGAGAATACGCACCGCTGAGGATTTCTGCAATTCCGTGCTCCAATCGTTCTTCACCAACGAGCTGGTCGATCCGTAAGGGGAGAGATTTTCGCTTTCGTCCTTTATGTTCAATCTTCTCTTCGATTTGTGGATCGCCGCGAACAATTCCTCGTTGGACATGGTGCTCTTGGTTGGCGAGAGGATGAGATTCGTGGGCGTGCTCCTTCCCGACGAAGTTTGGACGGGGGTGCTCCTTCCGGAATTGGGCATCGAGGAGGAGGAATTGTTGTTGGCGGTCAGTGCCAGACGTTCGGCAACAGTTGGCATACTGCGGCCGGTAGGCGTCGACGACTTGAAACTGTTACCGTATCCGTGCCCGATCGGTGAAATTGGATTGTACTTTAACGCATCAGCACTGGGAGACTTCGTAACGGGATCACGAACAGGCGAGGACGCGAAGAATCGATACCCAAGCGCTGTCAGCCCTAATGGTGTTGCGAATCTGGGTGAAGAAAAACAGAGAATCACATTTCGGATTCCCCTCTGTTTGTCGATATCTTTCGCTGGACGAAAAATTTATTATCGCGATTTCTTTATTCTTTTTCTTTCTCGATCGATTAAAGATGGAAGATGTGACGTGGAACGATGGAGATAGAAATTTAATTTAACCCTTTCGCTATGGGCGCCAAAAACGTGCACGGTGCTCCAGCAAGATCGTCAGCGATCGCGTTTACGCCTCGCCCAATTGTTTTGACGAGTTTATTGAAAAAAAAAAATTTGATGATAAAATATCGATGTTTCCAGGGAAAGATACTCGACTCCAATCGCTCATCACATCGTACGATACGCGGCATCTTATGCAGACCGACTATAGCCACCCACCTCAATAGCAGAATGAGTACAATACTCGTAGTAGCGAAAGGATTAATAGAACTACGAACGCAATGCGTTCGAGAGAATACGAAAAGGGTTGATATTGGATACGCAAACCCAAAAATTTTCTAAAGATATGAAAATTTCAAAATTATCGAGAATAATTTAAACGAGTGAAGCAGTTTCGAATAGCTCACCTATTTCTGATATCCACAATCGACGACTGCTCGTGATTCTGCATCAACCTGTTCTCCGCCTCCGAGTTCCTCTTGTTCAACTCCGCCTGCGAGCCGTATCGATTAGAATCCTGCTCAACCATCGCCTTGTGCCTCGCAAGCGCGTGCATCGTGCCGAGGGAGCCTCGTCCAAGACCCCTCGTGATATCCGGTGTGACGCTACGAGGTGGCTCGACGATGTCCCTCTGAGGTCTTCTCGAGGGTAACGTGTAAAATTGTTGGTTCGCATCCTTTGGTGGCGCGTAGAACTGCTGATTCCTCGCGTTCCTCATGTTCACGATACGGCGAGGGTCGCAAATGACGCGTTGCAAATCGTTGCGATCCAACGCCGGTTTGCCGAGCAGCTCGTTCGCGTCGTACAGGTTCCGCCTAGGGTCCTGGTAAATCTTGGCCGACGATGCTCGTCGTCCACAAGTTTGCTGCTTTTCATTCTGAATCTTGTGGGGGGCGGGAGGGTTGTTCGAGATCTCTTGGATCCTCTCTTTCTTTCGACACTGGTCGGAATTGGGGGGTGAAATGTAGGGCGGCGGTTGGACCAAGCCATGGGGAGGTACCGAGTCTATCGCCAACAGCGTGTTCTCTGAAACAATGACGGTCGATGATCCTCCGTGTCTTGATTGATCATCTTTGATGTGTCTTAATTTGAAGAAAATTTTTGAGCAGACTCGACGACGAGAAGATTGTTTTTTAAAGCGCAAAGTGTCGTTGCATTCGTGGCAGGTAATCTATTTAATTATACGGAAATGTCTCCTTTCGATTATGATAACTTTCTCGAACGAAAATAAATGAGAAAAATTTCGATACTCCAAATTTAAATAAACTTACGTAATATCTTTTTCTCTAATATTTTCCTCGATATACCACGAATGCTAAGACACCCTGTATGTAAACAAAATCCAATCGTTTCTCCTACTGGTACAGTACTAGGCATTCAATTATCGTATTAATTATTAAAATTTATTATTATTATTATTATTTATAAATATCTGAAAAGAATTGCTATTAAGAAATATCATTTTACAGTCTCGTTTTAGTATAGGAAAACTATATTGTTTGTTATTTTGCCGTTACGTCTTTATTATCACATCCGATATTATCGCATCGATACTTTCAAAAAAAAAAAAAGAAATATATGTATTTTTCCAAATAATTCTTTATAAACGACTCGAAAAATAAAATAAAATAGGAAACGATTCGTCAGTAGCGTCGTTGTTAGTCAAGTTGAAGCAAAACAAGCACGATACAAAGAGGCTGGCAAACGCAAGCATGCAACAAAAGCACGATAGCACAGCTCATCGATTAATCACCCCGAATCCGATATGGAATGCGGATTTCCACGAATCTCGACCAATTGTTCGAAAAAATAAAGCAGCCAGATAATATTCTATTCGAATGGACGAACATTATTCGACGATAATAACAATGGACATTCCATATCGAACTCGTGTGTACTTTTTTTTTTTAATGGAGTTAAAAACAAAATGTACTCACCGTTACACGAACTATGGTACTACGACATGTACGTGAATTACTAACGAGGGTTGCCACACGCGTGTGAGGTGCATGTTTTTTTTTCTCTAAAACTATTGAGTGCATATGTACACAGCCTAGTGTGCACGAACAAAGAACATGGAGGTGAATAAAAAAAAAAAAAATGAGAGAGAAGACATACAATTGGGATAGGTTGGGGTTAAATTGGGGTGACTAAAGTTCGTCCAAAATCAAGTCGTTCAACATGTGAAAATGGCGTCAATTTTAAAAGTATATTTAAATATTTATTCACATGATTTTATTAACTGAACTGTGCGAATTAATTATTTATCCCGTTACAGAAAGTTTTAGAAAGTTAGAATTCCAGGGAAACAGAATTTTTATCAATTTAATTTTTGACGTGTATAAGTTATCCAAAATAAAAAAAGAAAAAAAAACAACTATTATCGAAAAGTTGATTTTAAAAAATTTCTTTCTTTCGAAATTGAATACACTATTTCGAAATTTTATAATAAAATAATGTTATAATCTTATAATCAGGAAAGATTAGCGAAGCTTTGCACGCAAGTATCGAGATGTCGAATATTTTTTAAAACTATCAAATCGATGATTTAAGAAGCTTTTCACATATCTAATTAAAATACTTAAGGATATGTAACAAAAGAGATTTGTTCGTGGTCGGGAAAACAAACGGCCTTGAGAAATCGATCGATTTTGAACGAATTATAGTTACGTATTTACAATGAGGGGGGGTACGTGATACGATAATACAGGTGAGACAAAAAAAAAAAAAAAAAAAAAAGAAAAGAAAAAAAACAACAAATAACAAAATGCAGCCGTGATTTCCACAAAAAAATGGCGTCTATTCACATACATTCGCTCATTAAATTTTTAACGACATCGTTCGTCGGTATGTACATTCGGGTGGCAAAATGCGCTTTCTTCGTTCATCGAGTACAAAAAAAGGGGGAGGAAGGAGAGAAGAAATATACATATTTATGAATATACAAGTGCACACAAGTAAAAGATGAGGCTTACACGCTAGTAACACATACGTATATATACACATATACGATACAAAGTGTGTTGCATGCTCCCCTACCCAGGTTGTAAGTAGATATCTTTAAATATTAGTCGCAAGCTGGTATAGCGAGAGAGACGTGAAATAATGTGCGTATTTAGTGTATATTTAGTTGTCTGACTAAATTTGATTAAAATGGTGCAATCCAATATGAATTTAAAATTAATCCAGAGTACATGTTGCGATGATTGTATTCAAAGAGTGTTTTTAAAATGTCTATTGTACAATTTTAAAAGTTAAATTTAAATCAAAAGTAAACTTTTTTAACAAGAAATCTAAGCATCACGACAATTTGAATATTTCCTGTCGATCGAGCAAAAGTTAAAAAAGACACTGCTCTAGATTATTTTTCGAATTCGAATATACAAGATCGTTCCAATTTTTCATTTCAACGTTAACCCTTAACCGATGTGCTACGAATCGAATTGCTGCTGAAAACATATTTTTCTCTACATAAAGCTTCGTATTCTTCATAAAAGAGAATATATCCACGAGAATATATCTTCTCAACGAATAACATAATAATCAATTGATTTTGTTACGTACCGTGAAATATCGTGAATTTCTTTTTCTCTTTTTTTTTATCGACAGAAAAAATAAATACTCTATCTTTAAAATTTTTCCAAAAAAGAATAAAAATATGATTCCATCGATCGCGTCACACAATTATTTATACGATATTAAATCCACATCAGCCAAGGGTTAATCCAGCAGACATTTCAGAAACACGTAAATACACCAAGTCTCGAATAATGTACTCTGTTGATGGCGGAATGAGAGACACGATGAAGTCCCCGTATTCGAAGTTAGTCACTAGAATGTTAGTGCTAAACGCTACTTACAACGAGGGGTGAGCACGCTTTCGGCTAACATGCGACACGGCAAGTCGGGGGCACACTTACTGTCTTCACCACATGCCGAAAACCTGAACTCGTTTGCTACAATTCTTTTCTTTTTTCTTTTTTTTTTTCTTTCTTTCTTTTTGTTTCGTTTCATTTAACTTTACATCACTTGCTATGCATCGCGTCGTGCAATTCATCGGTGAACGCTGGTCACACGAGTAAAATTAATTAACAAAAACGTATAAAATATATATTTTGGTATAAACTACATTACAACGATGACGTTTCCGTGACACGAGCACAATTGGAATAAAATTTAAATCAATTTTTAATAAAAGAGAATACAATTTTGTATCTGACAGATAAAAAGTTGTGTTAAAAATTATTTTTAATTATCGATTATAATTTAATTGATATTTTTCCTTTGCTTCTCTTTTCATTTCATTGTTGTTTGGAATGCAAATTATTAAAGTTTTAAAGAGTAAAACTATTCTCAAGAGTTTACTTTTCATTAACGGATACTGGCATCCGAGAGAATGAAAGTTACACTCGGTCAGCAATATCCAATTACGAAAAATATTCGTGAGAACAAATCTCTGAGACTTTTTACTCTTCAAATGTATTCCCTTAATCCAATGTATGCTATCTTCGTTCTCCCCGATATATCGGCAAACAGAAGAAAACAGATAGGAGAAGTGGTTATTTATCGTGTACAGAATTTTATTATTAATTCTTTTTCTCACTTGTATTCCTATACACGATTTACATTTAATAATACTCCGCTGGAACAGGCGATTCTAACCTCTTAAAGCGATCGAATCCATCGTTCACGTGCAACTTTTTTGTAACTCAATACGCTCGGATGTGTAAAAAGAAAAATAGAAAGGTATATGCACACATATGAAGAAGATGTATAGTAACCTAATCTAATCTAGGACAAGATGGGCATAAATTCCAGCTGGTGAACTGCCCGCAAAGTACATGTATATTCCGCTTGATTTCTTACAATTTCTTTTTTTCTTTGTTTTCCTATTAGGTTACCATCTCTTTGAGGAGTCTTTTTTTTTTTTTTCAGTGACCGTTGCTTTCGAACAGATGGCTGTCATTATATAATTGTTAAAAAATTTTTTAAAAAAATGTAACAATGGGTATTAATCGGACGACACCTTGGGAACATAGCACCTCTCAAATATTAGAAATCGTTTACTTTAATCTTTATTCGTTTCTAAATTTAATAAATATTAGCTATTTACACACGATTGGACGGAATATGATATTTAAAGAATCATTTTCATTTTTTTAATCGATATATGGTCGATTGAGAATCATAAAAGTTCGATTCGAGAAAAAAATGAATGTAATTTAAAGCTAATAGAATATTCAAATTGAAAAATATGTATTTTTTTTAATAATATTAATTTATTATAATTATGACTTATGTTATTATAATTCTCATCCGCCATACATATCAATTTATCATAATAATATCATCATCATAATAATATCAATTTAGAAATAATTGCTGAGATTAATGATACATTTGATTAAAAATTTGCAATATTTCGATTAGTCTCGTTTCAAATCAAGAATATATTTCAACGTGACAATCGTTTAAAAATCGCACTCTTATATATAAATATAATTTCCATTTAACTATTTTTTATTTTCCTTCCCAATTTAATCCCTCTCTATAAAATCATATTAATCCTATTCCAGAATTCCTCTGGCCACAAATTTTCCGATTAATTAACAATCGTTTTTTTTTCCCTCTCTGATCTTCGTATCATAGAAATACGTGAATTCCAGTTAGATATTTGTACAAATTAGTCATAGATCACTCGACGTGACTCAGCCCAGTACTTATAAATCACGTGCAAGCGAATAAAAAAAAGAAAGAAAAAAGAACACAAGGACGACAGATAACGCGTAATTAATCGCGTATTGCGCTAATTGGAATTTTGAAAGGGCGATGAAAATTTCCCTTATTTACAAATACGATACGATTCGCAACATCATCGAACAGCTGTTCTCATTTTTTATCCTCCCCCTCCTCCCCTATATATCGCGACACGTTTCACTTTTTCAGCAACGGCGATGATTTATGACGAGACGATTATCAAGAACGCGAAACGATACAGCGAACCATGAATCATTTCTTTTCTTCGATGCGCACTGCGGGATATCGTTATATAGAATTTTTCATTCTGTATCGTCGTCTTTGTAGCGTGGAAGAAGAAAAAGATGGCACGAAAAATTCTTCAAATATATTTAATTCGAATTTTAATGCGCATATATTCAAGACTAAGTCTCTGAAAATGAGTTACGTAATTCAAGTTATAAACTAAATGAAAATTAATGAAATAATTATTCGATTGATTTGTCAATTGCAAGCACAAGTAACAAAGTGACTCTTGAATTGGATAAATCATTTTTCTTGATTCTCCAATGTGAGAAAATATTTTTCAAGCATTAGTGTTTAAGATTTTTTTTCTGTATTTTTTTTTTTTTTTGTTTTAAATATACGATAAGTATATCTTTTTGAAGAAATATTGAAGGATATTTTATTGTGGAATAAGAAAGAGACAAAAATGGAAAATGGAAAGTATGAAATATACAAAATGAGTTTATCAAAAAATTGCTCGAAGGCAGTCTGAAAGTGTGATCGCTGTTAAAAGAGCAAAAAAAGGTCAGATAAAATTTTAATTATTTTAAATTATTAAATTTCTTTCACTTTTCTTTTTTTTTTTTTGAGATGGTGTATCTTCAATTAAAACATTATGTAAGAATTAAGATGAGGAAAACGATACTTTGAAAATAATTGTAAAATCTTCATTGCGATTGAATTGTGCTTTATAATGCAAACATAATACGTTTCAAAGTAACTCTTGAGGTCTTGGAATTTAGAGAAGAAAACACGATATTTCCAAGAAATCGGATATAGTAATCCTAATAGAATAGTGAAAGGACAGAATTAGGACAAAAGTATCACGAAACTTTCCATCGCCGATTAGACTTGCCATTGAATCAAATAAATTACTTTAAACATATAAATTAGTCGGTTATCAAGTGACAGAAATATGTATATATCACATGATTAGTAATTCCACTACTGCAAGTTACATTACGTGACCTATGGCTATCTCTCATGACGTAACTCGAAAAATAATCAAGCAATGAACTGATTATAAATCATGAAAGCTATAAAATCACACTTATGTCGCACAATTTGTCAACCTTTGTCTTGATATTTCTATTTAAAACGGATATCTTTTTCTATTGTAGTGTATATAACATTGAATATAAATGATCAGAAAAAGGAAACTCTAAAGTTGGTATTTGTTTTTTGAATTTTTTGTTACTATTAAATACATACGTAATAATAACGTAAATTAAACTATTTTTAGAAAAAAATAGGTACATTCGTTTTTCTGTAAATCATGTTTAATTATTATTTAATAAATTTCATGCTATGTTAATTAGTTATTCGAAAGATAAAGATTAATTAATTTTATTTTTTGAAAAATTTTTTCCAAAAACTAAAGGATAAATCAATAAATAAATAAAGTTCATCAATTTGACTTTTCTTCGACTTAATTATCATTGAATCATTACCTTTTTAAATATGTCTATTTAAGATATATTTTAAAAATATTTTTTTAATACAATTTAATAAATATCATTTTATTTCTTACTTCTCTTTTTCAGAAAATTTTTCAATTTATAGATGAATCTCGTAGTTTGTAAGAATAGTGTGTGTGAAAAAAATCTTTTCGTTGAAATTTTTATAAATAATTTCTAGATATGGCAATCAAATTTTATGAGATTAATAAAAATATGATAAATATTTAAAACAACAACACTATTACGCATATAATCTTCGATACGTAATTTAAACTCTCAACTTGAAAGGCTAATAATAATCGAATGAATATTGAATAATGATATAAAACGAATATATGTTTAAATGATCAATAAATAATCAAACTGCGAATTAATTTCTAGACTTAATGTATTAAGTCTAAAAAATCAAAACGTTCAAATATTAGAAAATAAATGTTACCATTGTTATCAAATTTAATCGATAAATGAATTTAAAAAAAAAAATGGATTATTAGGTTTATGAAAGTGACGTATAAATACGTTGTCCTCGCCACGTTATTATCATTATTACATTTTTCATTGTTTGTTCTTTTGTACAAAAATTGTTCGTGAAATAGAAGAAATGAACAAGAAATAGTGAAAATAATATAATATAAATTGAAATGTTGAAATAAAGTAAATTGCTAACTAAAATTTGCATTTATCAATTATGAGTCGTTATATGTTTAGAAATGACATATAATTGTCATTTCTAAATTATAAATTCAAAAAGTCACACGCATAACTCGACACACGTGAAATTTCGTAAACTTATTTGGTGGACATTAATCAATTCATTGATTGCAAATCGTTTTATTCGTGTTTATATTCGTTGTCAAGAATGGACATGTTTCATAACACGAGAGTGAGATTGTTGATTGTGCTCGATATACAAGCAAATAATACGATTATTACATATATGTACATTTGCTCGATTGACACGTGTTTTGATTATTTTAAATTAGATCTTGTGAAAGAATATATATAGTTCTTTTCCATTCGAATGTAATTCTGTTTCTCAAAAATTCTTATTCGAGTATAATAAATTATATAATTTGATTTCACGTTAGAAAAAGAAAAATTTAGAAGAAAATTATACGATAAAATGGAGGATATATTTGACAATATCATAATATTTTACAAATTGTTTAATAAAAATTAATTTTAGAGAAATAAATTACTCTTTAAAACTTTTCTCTTTAAATTAGAATTTGCGATTTGAAAGAAGGATTATATACCGTTTACTCTTTACTCTTATACTGTTTATCAGTATTGTATTTTTTTTACGAGTATGCAAATATTGAGGAAAGAAATAGTTAAAAATTTTTTAATTAATTTCTTCGATTTCTTTCAGAATCTATATTTAATTTCTAAGATAATGTAAGTGTTAATCTATGCATATTATGCTGAATAGCGAATTTAATATTATTATATAAGGATAATATTGCGTGATATTTCATCGCCAATTTTAATTACTAACAAACTACGCAGTTGACACGAATAACGAAGCAAAACGAGCTGTTGAAAAGCCAAATACCATCAATTTTAAAAACAATAAAGTAAAATCGAAACGAATCAGAAAATCAATTTTTTGATAAAATATTTTAAATATACATTCTACATCTCGTTCTTAGATACGATGAAAAAGGGATTAAAAATAAAGGGGCCTGATCTATCACGAAACTATCATCTCTAAACTTTTCCACTTATTCTTGGAAATAAATTCCAACGACACGAAACATTTATCAAAGAATAATATCTATCTATCTCCAATCATAAAAATTGAAAAGAAAAAAAAAAAAAAAAAAAGAAAATTAAAATAAAAAAAAAAAAAAAAATAACAATAAAAGAAAAATTCACATTCCCTACGCGAAAATCAAAAACCAAAAGAAAAAAAAGCACAGCAACAATTAATCCTGTTGATGATCCTGTTGATTTTTATTCCTTCAATTTTATTTTTCCAACAAACAAAATTTTACATAAATATATAACACCGAGACGAGAAAGAAACTCAAAATAACAAATTCTTTCGCCTAGAAAGAACATTCCAATAATATAAAAAAAAAAAAAAAAAAAAAAGAGAGAAGAAAGAA